GGGAAGGGAAGGGAAGGGGGAAGCAATGGAGAGGAGAGAGGGGAGGGAAAGGCAGGGAAGGGAAGAAAAGGAAAGGAAGAGGGAAGAGAAGGAAGAGGGAAGGAAGGAAGGAAGGAAAGAAAGGGAAGGGAAGGGAAGGGGGAAGCAATGGAGAGGAGAGAGGGGAGGGAAAGGCAGGGAAGAAAAGGAAAGGAAAGGAAGAGGGAAGGGAAGGAAGAGGGAAGGAAGGAAGGAAGGAAAGAAAGGGAAGGGAAGGGAAGGGGGAAGCAATGGAGAGGAGAGAGGGGAGGGAAAGAGAGGGAAGGGAAGAAAAGGAAAGGAAAGGAAGAGGGAAGGGAAGGAAGAGGGAAGGAAGGAAGGAAGGAAGGAAGGAAGGAAAGGGAAGGAAGGGAGGGAATGGGAAAGGGAAGCAATGAAGAGGAGAGAGGGGAGGGAAAGGCAGGAAAGGGAAGGAAGGAAGAGAAAGAGGAGAAGCAATGGAGAAGAGAGGAGGGGGAAGGCTCAGGGAAGGGAGGTTAGAGGATCAGAGGGGAGAGGAGAGGGGGGGGAGAAGGGGAAGGGCGAGGAGCCCCTGGGGCCATTCTTCCCTTCCATCCCTCCGTTGCCCCCATCCACAGATTCCCAACTCAATTCTCTTGCAATCTCTTCGCAGTCCCCGTCTTTGGTACTTACAAGGAACCTGCAAGTTTCTCACGGCAGTTACGGGATGACTTCCGTCCAGTCCCATCACGGAGACGCTGTAAGGGCCAGCATCAGCGGCCTGTATCTTTCGGACGATTAAGGCGCATCGTCTCGCCAAATCTTCCTGTCCTGTGTAGGCTGGTCCTGTGCGGTTGATCCTATGGATTCCAGCGGTTGGGTCAAACTGCCCTCTGAAGATGTGATTTTCCTGGCTTGGCTCTCTCCCTTGGAACCAGTCGCAGCTGGTAGGAGATCGGGGATCATCCAAAAAGAGGAGGACCGGTTTCCCAATTTGGGGGTAGGGCGGGAATTGGGCTATGCGGAGGGTTTTCGAGGGTGGGAGTTTGGCGGCGAAAGCCAAAACTGGAACACCGGAAAGAAATACAAGGAGGTGAACGTAGCTTCAAACATTCTTCCTCTTCGCACATATTTCCACCCAGAATTGCCCTGAATTATGAGATTGGCAGCTTACACATAAACACTTTATACACTATCAAATTCCAACATAACGATTTTGATCCTTGGAGAGAAGGGAAAAAAACAAACCACTATCCATCGAAATTCCTAACTGGATGATAACATGATTAGTTAAAGGCAAAGTTTCCCCTTCCACATCTGTGCTAGTCATTTCTGACTCTAGGGGGCGGTGCTCATCTCTGTTTCAAAGCCGAATTTAATTTAATTTAATTTATTAGATTTATAGGCCGCCCAATCCCGGAGGACTCGGGATTGCCGAAAAGCCAGTGCTGTCCGAAGATGTCTCCGTGGTCATGTGGCCAGCATAACTCAATGCCAAAGGCGCACTGAACACGGTTACCTTCCCACCAAGGGTGGTTCCNTTCCCTCCTTGCTTCCCTATGCTATTGCTATTTTAATTTTCTCTACATTGAGTTATATTTTGTTAGATTCAGGTGGTAAAAATCTAATAAATTGATACATTGGTACTTTGGCCTTTACTCTGGAATCATCATCTTTATAGTCCAGATCGAGAACCAAGGAAGGGATGGTTGAAACTTTTCTTCGTGCTTTTAAACCGGGGGGGGGGGATGGAGACGACAAGCCAATATTAGACCCCCAGATGGAGTCAGGAGAGGGGAAAAATTTAATAAAGGAAGGAATTGCCTTCCTTCTGACTGTAAGAGGAGAATACAGCTGCTGCTGCTGCCAAGATAAAGATAAAAACCAGTTTAACCAGCATTGATAAATCAGTTTGGCTAGCTCCAGGCACACATTAGCGATGCCGAGATAGAGTCTCGGGGAATTGAGTGTATCCTTGTTCCATCACGGGAGTTGGGCCAGTGGGTTTGCAACGGTGCAGAGGCCGATTGGCTTGTTTAATGTGGAAATGGCAGAGCAAAGAAAAACTTGGTTTTTATTCTATTTATTACAGTTCTACACCACCCACCTCACTTAAAGGAGGCTAGGTGGCTTAAAACAATGGTTACTAAACCATCATAGTCCATTCCACCTGTACGGTGGGGGCTGCTGGTGTGTTGCAACCTGCTGCATTCAAGATGGACTGGACTACAATGCCCATAATGAAAACTCTGGTCCCCTACATTTGATGGGGGAGGTCAATTGTAGGAAAGATTCTCTCTCTTTCTCTCTCACTCTCTCTCTCATTCTTTCTCTTTCCTTCTTCCTCCTCCTTCTCCTCTCTCTTTCTCTCAATCTCTCTCACTTTCTTTTTCTTTCTTTCCTCCTTCTCCTCCTCCTTCTCTTTCTCTTTCTCCTCCTCTCTCTCTCTCAATCTCTCTGTCTTTTTTCCTTCTTCTCCTTCTCCCTCAATCTCTCTCTCTCTCTCTCCTCTTTCTACTCCTCTCTCTATATATATTTCTCCCTTTCTCCTCCTTCTCCTTCTCTCTCTTTCTCTTTCTCCTCCTCCTCTCTCTCTCTCAATTTCTCTTTCTTTCCTTTTTCTCCTTCTCCCTCAATCTCTCTCTTTCTCCTCTTTCTCCTCTTTCTACTCCTCTCTCTCTCTCTCTTTCTCTATCTCTATTTCTCCCTTTCTCCTCCTTCTCCTTCTCGCTCTCTCTCCCCCCTCCCCCCTATCTCTTTCTCTCCAGATGTTAAATGACACAAATTGTTTCTTTGGCTTTGATGGCTGGTGGCTATTAGCTACTACAGATAATCCTTGACTTATAACCAGAATTAGGACCAGACTTCCTGTTCCTAAGCGAAGCAGTTCTCCAGTGAATCACAGGCAATATTACAACCATTTCTGCCACGGTCCTTAAGTGAATCTGACTTGCCTTGTTCATTTCCCTTGTCAATATCCGGCCGGGTACATTGGAAATTACGATAACGTAACCATGGGACTGGGACATCTCAACCACGGTAAATACATGCCAGTTATAAAGCCCCCAAATTTTGATCATGTGACTGTGGGGGATGCTGTAAGAGTTGTAAGCGCAAGGACCAGCTGTCAGTCCCTTTTTTCAGTCACTAAATGAATCACTGTCACTTTAGGAATACTTGTGCACATAAATCCCCTGATTGGGGAGGGGGCATTGCGATAAAGTGTTTGGCCGTTCAGAATAATGGTGTGTGAGTATAGAATGCTTCTGAGCTATTTTATATCAGTAAACATAGAAGTGAATTTGGATTTGAATCAGTGATGGGATTCAAATTTTTTCTACTACTGGTTCTGTGGGTGTGGCTTGATGGGTGTGGCAGGGAAAGGATACTGCAAAATCTCCATTCCCTCCCCACTCCAGGGAAG